TTAAAAATTTGAAATTTTAATTATAATAGCAAAGAAGGGAATACCGAGTTCTCTTAATGAAACTTCAAAACTTCGTGCGAAAGTCAATTTTAATTAGCTATGTTGTAACTTGCATCTGAGCTCATGGCATTTGTATAAACACAATCCTGTTTAGTCGAAAGTCGACAGACGTAACGATGCAGCCCTTGTCTTCAACTTTGTATTTGTTTTAGGTACCACTTGTAATAAAGAAGGAAATGTGAAAGGATTAAACAGATACAGCAAACTGCACAGTTTCTGAAGTAGGAAAACTAAATAGACCGATAAATACAATAATTGTTTACTTCACTAAATATGTATAATAAAATAAAAATAAATGTGATATAATGACGATAAATTTACGTACTTCTAACAATTTGTAACTGCAATTAACACTCAGTCATTTTATAAAATATTAACTTTACATAAAAATATTAACACATTATAATTATAATTTAAAAGTAATGTAAAATAATAAAATTGTGTGGTAAAAATCATTTTAAAAGTTTATTTATAAATACAGAAAGTTTATTCACTGATAAAAGAATATTAATGTAAAACCATGTAAAACATACGTACAATCATAAAAATTATTAGAAACTTATTAAAAATATTCTATATGTAAACAAAACTTACACCTACGACTAAGTACCTACCTGTTGACGTTAACGTGTGGTAAGTGCTGTCGAAGGCAGATGACGGGCCACTCAACCTTCGCAGGATTCATGAGAGACTTAATAGCTTACTTGCTATCTTAAATAAGGACAAGTGAAACTAAACAGACCTGTCACAGATTAATATACCTATATAAGTAGGTATTTCAATACTTCCAACTATTAGTTGTAGCAAAGATGTATATTTAAGACTTCGATAGCCATATCCCCTAAATTAAAAATTCATTTTCCCGGTGTAAAATAATGTTTGTGAGTACCAATTTACAATACAACTACTTTGACATTAAAAATTTATTAAAAAAAGGGAAGAACTCAAAGCATATTCTGTCTTTGTTTGCTTTAAAGTACAGTATAATTATTGGTAACAGAAGAATAGTGTTTAATTTGAATTTAAAAGAATTAATAAGTAATATTTATAGTCGTTAAATTTTATTTTAAATCCTCGTCTATCTGGCACATTGTTATAAAGCAAGGAGATAAAACAATTGAGTAAAACTTGAGAGTAAGAAGTAGCCCAACGTTGCGTTGCTTTAAAAATAAAAACAATATTCCAAAAGATCTGACCACAACATGGAAAAAACGAGGGTGCTTCTCGATAAACAACTGTATTTGACCACACGGTATTTAAGTGTCTATTAATTGAAAATTACTATTCGCTAACACATATAATCTATTAGATGTCATTAGAAAAATTAAGAAGATTTTACATTAATGATTCAGATTATATTAGAATATATATGTAAATTCTAATATTAACGAAAGTGTCAATGTTTGCAGGTAATCACTTCGAACATTCAGTGATCATCATTAAAACCATTAAATAATTTTAATTTTAAACTTATAGTAAATTTTATTTATTACGTCCCCAAAGTTTCAATAATAAAAGATTATTTTTAAACACAAGGTCATAAATACGTACACTGTACCTGCTCCACTACTTTTCTATTGTTAAACTTCCGTAAACTTTTCTTTGCAATGCAGAGCCTGGTATTGTTACGGAGGAGAATAACATCGTGTCTCTTGTTCAAGTCCGTTTATTAAATAAAACAACTTCAATTTACCGCGAATATGACTCATAGTAATTTATGGAGGAAAACATAAACTTCATGTACAGTTGTCTTATCTAAATTAAAGACGAAATGTGTTTTTACACACCAACAGACATATTTTACAAAACTATATTTTTAAAGGTCCACTTTATTTTACACGAAAACTCCCTTTCTAACCCAATTACTCTTCAAATAGAATGAAAACTATAACAAGACTTGTTTATTCTTTAATCCGTCTTAACCCTAAGAAGATCAGGGGAGGTGTTCATCGAACCCACCACATCAAGTACTTGAATGAAATATCATGTATTCATTAAAAAAAATTCGTAACATTATTTATTGTTAACTATTTATTGTTGTTGGTGCTTTGCTTCAGCAAAGACATTGTTAAACATATTTCAGATGCAATGCTGCTACAAATGTGTATTAGAAGCGACAAATAAAAAAATTGAATTTATTTAATTTAAACCAAAATAATTCTGCATCAGCTCTAAGAGACATGTATGTATCAAGTATTCGAATAATATAATAATGTTTAATGCATATAATTACTTATAGCATTAGATATGTCGAACATAATGAATAAAAGAATATTAAAAAGATACTGTATATAAATTTCTCTTTTAATAATGTATGTCATTCCTCTCCTTATATATAAAACTGTATTCTTGAAATACTGATATTTAAGAGATATAATTCCATGAAAAAAAAATTATAATACTCCCAAATGTAATTGTCATCATGATATACATGAAGTCAGCAGTATAAAATTGCTGTAGTAATAATCACCTACTTTTTTGACAGTTAGAATAACATTTTTTATAAAAATATATAGTTTTGTTAATCATGATAAGTTAGTTTAACATATATCATGAAAATAAATGTATTTTTCCTACAAGTTTTTATTTAGGACCTAAACGGTTAATCGCGTAGTTTGGCGGTGTCCCTTGTTAAACACACGGAGAGTTGAACTATTGAATGAATTCCGCAAATACAAACTGCATCCACCATTAAATATTAGATCTCTGCTCTACAAGCCTAATATTTAATCATTCACAGGTGTTAACTCAAGTAAGTTACTTGAGCTTCCTTCCTTATTCTTTCACATACCGACTCCAGGCGTGGTCTTCTTAGAGTTCAGTTTATGAAACATTCGGTGAGCAACAGTATTGATAAGTGAGATATAGCGACATGACATTGATCCACCTTTAGACGAATTCGAGGAACGTGCCGCAAACACAGCAGACTAGAATTCCATGTATGGTAGACTGAGCAGAGCACACCGTGGTCTTTTATGAATCGCCACACCATCCCCGAAAAGGCTGAATCCCCACGAAAAGTTATTCCGTCCATGAGCCATCTTATATTTACTCGATCTATCTCTGGTAGTCGACAAGAACTATCGACCGGCTGGTATCGCCCAAGTAGATACTGTTTCAACTGTATACAATCTTTTACAAGAAAAATAGGAGTATAAATATCAACTCCCTTGCTTGACAAGTGAATTAATTTGTGTATGTAACTCACCTCGGAGAAAGTAATTATGTGATCTATATAACTGAAATGAAATTGTGACTTTCATATTTTTAATTTGTGTAATATATGACAGCAAAATATGGTATGTATTATAAGTTTTAAGTGGATTACTATATAAATTCAGATTTTTATAAAGTAAAAAGTATCAAAGAGAATGTAATTTTATTAATATGGGGATTTATATGTACCCATATGAAATGAAATTACTGTTATGTTGAACTTCGCGCATTTGAAACTTCCATACGTGCACAAATGTAATTGGGGTTAATAATATTCACTGTTCAGTTGTTAATTAATATTGTTAATTGATATTGCTGTTGCAGATAATCATTTGGTTAAATAGAAATTAGACTGGTTAAATAGACTGTTGATATTGTTAATAATTTATTTATTACAATTGAAGTCCACGAAAGCTACCGCAAACAATTAAAAAACTAATGATTTATACTGTGTTCGTAAAAACATTACTATGTTCGAGTTTACTAATATACATTCTGAGGTGCAATTTTTAAAATTCTACTTTCCTTCATATAACGAAATTTTTTATTACATTTTTTCCTGTCGCCATTATCTTCTAATGTTTTACAAAATAAAATATATAGATACGATATAAAAACTATAAACCTCACATTTAACAGTAAAACTACCACATGAGCCAAAACGACCCATTCCTGAATTCTTCTTTTACAATTATTGAAATAATAATAGATCTTTCTCTGAGAAATTTCAACAGAAATTGCTTTAGTAATACGCAAACTAAATTATAAATAATCGAAGGCTCGATAGATGTACTCTTAGAGTTCCTATAAAAAAATTTTGAAAAGTCAACTTGACTGTTTGATAATTTTAGTGTTAAAGTAACTATATAAGTGTAATAACTGTATAAGAAGAACTTTAGTGTTAAAGTAACTATATTTTCATCCCATATAAATTCTAAAACTGAACTACTCAAGATAATCCTTAATCTAAAAATTACAAAGAGAGAATTTTTGTTCAATTATTCGTGCTGCAACCATACAAGAATTTAATAATCATCTTCTTTGTTATCATTTCGCACACTGACCAAATCAATATAATACAAAAACATAATATATGAAAATTATAGGAATGTTTTATCACTCTCAAAAATTAATTTTTATTAATGATACTCCTAATATTAGTGTTACTCATACTGCTATAAACAACATATATAAAACAGAGAACAATATTTTCTATCTATTTTTATTAAGCTAAAGATAAAACTCTAATAAAAGTCTGTTCCAGTGTATATTAAATGTTCTCTTGCACTGTAACTTCGTACAATTTATTACTCTATCCAATTCTTCTTTCACATAAATACATTTTGCTTATAAGTGATGTCTATTAACATCAAACGTTTAATATGCTGAGCTTTTTATATGGTTAATAAATAATCCTTATAAAAATTGTGACAGTATATTTTATTCATTTCTTCATATATTCATTATAGTATTAAAGTGCAGCTATTTGTTTCTAAAATTATTTCGCATATTCAACATTTTTAGGGTATCAATAATTGCAAAATAAGACAAATCCGTCATTTTGGCAGATGGGGTGGTTCTAATATTAATGAAAGATACGAAACAACATTATAAAATCTCTATAAATTTATAATTTATAAATTTCATCTGTAACTCATCCGTGCTATCAACTATTTTAACAAAAGACATTTAGTCGTTTGTTACAGAAGGGCGAAATGGCTCGACTAACAGACTTTGGTTCGCCGTTCATCCCTGTCGCTGATTAGGTCGATACCGCACCGGCTGTAGAACGCCTGCATTTTGCTCGACCGATTGAATTTCTTCTCAGGAACGTCGACTTGGATCCTGTTCGGCCGACCGTACCAGTGATTAGAAGTCATTGGGACGTTGTGACCTTTGTTCTCCTTCGAGATCTCTGACCAATAAAGGCTTGCTTTCGTGCGATCGCACCGTGGCTTGCCGGGGTCGAAATCCTCCGTACTGTGAAGACGTTCGTACGCCGATTTCGTGCTGTCTTCTTTATTATTGTTAAAATACGACATTGAATGCCGCGGAGCGAACGGTTCCAACTGAAATTAATTTTGTCTCTGAATGTATACTTGGTGATAGAGAGCAGCAATATTTAACCTTTTGCTTGCCTTATGCAATATTTAATTACTACGGTATTAGGTTAAATTAGGTAGATACTATTTTATTTCTCTACATTTTGGTTTTGACGATTTTTGTTAGATAGTTGCTTTTCTATTTGGTTTTATATATTTGAACTTTACATAAGTTACAAGGGCCCATTAAGATTTTGAGATTATAATATTAACTGCAATTCCACTGGAGCTGCTTAGATGTCACAGATGTTGAACTTATTCAACATTTATAGAAAACGAAGTGTTCTGATAATGTATTTTATGCTAATGTGTCGGTAATTCTGTAAAGTTTTGTGAGTTAATCCGCTAAACAAAAAAACTACGTAGTTAATCATTTTAAAAGATTAATAAGTTGTCAGAAAATCTTTTTTATTTCTTCAATAACACGGCAAGAAATCTGAAACGCTTCACTTTGATCCATCGGATAATTCTAATATTAAAAATACCAACCAAATCCACATATCGGATTTGGGGTGAAGAATGATATTGTTCCTGTATATTTTTAGACTATACAGAAAGTAAATAGTAAAATATTATTTGTACATTAGTTGTAGAAGTTATAAAAAGTTTCTCATAGAATGATTTTATATAGTACGAAATAAAATGGTACATATTTTTATAAGGTCGTAAACATGCTTACATGTTTAAACTATTGTCACATACGAATTTGTCAGGCAGTTTTAAGATTTTATTGAAAAATCAATGTTTCCTTTAGGTCTGAAACATAAGCTAAATATACTATGCGATACAGTTGTTTCTCATATGAAAACCATCAAAGAATCTACGACACCAATTTCGTTTTCAATTGAGAAAATAAAGTTGCGCGAGACGTCATTGATCGTCAACGTCAACGACCGTAATGCCTGTTATAAATGGTTTTATAACAGAAACACTAAGTTGAAACACAATATTCCATTATTCTGTTTTTAAAACAGTTTAAAATGTCTTTTTCTCATAAACAATATACTTTAAATAATATAGTAGGTTCCTGATAATTTCACCATGAAGAAAGATCAGCAAATAGAAATATTTTAAAATAAAATGAAGCATCAGAGAATTCTACATCTCATTTAAATAAAATAAATAAACCAATTTATTATAGTGACATTGATAATTATTGCAAAACTGTAATTAAGTTATAAACTTTCTTTTTATTTTGTGTAACTAATACGTTTACAACTATATGAAAATGTGATCAAACTATCCTGGACTACTCCTAACAATAACCATAATCGGTAAAATAATCTAATTTATAAAATATTGAATAATAATAAAATATTTAATATATTAATACGTATCTAAGTACGCTCTATTCATCAAAATATTAATGACATGAAAAATGGAAAAAATATAATGTTATATAAACACATTTCATTTTATTTGAGAAAGTTTCTACAAATATCTGCCACAAGTAGTAGCATGTATAGTTGCACAAATAATGTTCAAGTTTAAAAATTTACCTTTTTGCACAAAATAAATCTTCTCCAATGTTGAATACGATGAAAAAAGAGACTTTCAGATTTATATTTAAAATATGAACATTTCTAACGTTCATCAATTCAATATGACAACACGTAAAAGAAGTTAAAATTTATTAACAGTATTATTATTTTCATTATTATTATTAAATAATTTTATTATACTAAAATCTATTAAAAGTCGGAAAGAATTCTATATATTGTAACATATAAACCAAAATATCGGTTCTCACGTAGAAGATTAATCTTTCAATTATTAGAATTTAATAATTCAATATTAAAATCTTAATCAAGAATTACTTACGTGGACCTACACATACATATGTATTAACAAATATTGTTCATGCAAAATTAGTGTTCTAATATTTATGATGAGAAGTGTATGTTGATGTAGCTGGTACAATTAATTAAACTAATAGCAAATTGTAGTAGTATCGAGTGACCAAAATAAGCATGTTTTAAATCATACATTCCCGATTGCTCTGACAGCAGAGAATTGTTTTCTGTATCTCGAAACATTTCCGGTTTCCACAAAAGCGAACTTCCAGAATAGAACGTTGAACGAACGTGCACTAGGCATTAATTATTAACGCCCCGAATTCACCTGAAAGTTTCACTTACCACGGGATATTGCTTAGCAGCCTTCAGAGTGTGCTCCATCCTCGCCATCATCTGGACCCAAGGAGTGATATATTCTGTTTCAAACATTGTGCTATCACTTTTAGACTTATAATTGCAAGTATTTTATAATCACAAGGTTTAACTAAAAATTTCCAAATGCGTAATCTCAAAAAGTATTTTTTTTAAATATGCTGGACCAGAATGAAGTTTGCATATTTTAACATTATCGGTACAGTTTCTGACAAAAAATACCGAAACAAATAAGTGAATTCTATATTAAATCTAAATTATCGAAAATATCAAGCACACCTATTATTAATATACTGAAAATGTTTATAATAACTTTTATTCTTATTGAGTAATTTTAAAAGATTAGAAAACTTGTAAATGAATTAATGAGTTTAATCTAATACTTCAAGCTATTTGTTTATCTTGAGGTATCAAGATTAATATAATAATATTCAAAATAAACAAAAGTCAAAATTGTTGCTACATTCTTTGTTCCATGTAAAGTAAAACATTAATATATCTGTTCCTTCCTTAGACTTTAATGGGCTGTATTATGTTTCTACATACATTATGACAATACGACAAGTAAAAATAATGAAGTATTGGCCAGAGAGTTTCTGTAATAGATTTCCAATCATTTAGTTTTTAATGTACACATTATTACATTTATTATTGGTCTTTAACAACTACCATATCGCGCCATCTTACGAAATGTGGAAGAAGTTCTCCTGAGTTAATGATTAGTTCGACGACATTATGCCATGCGGCGCTGCGTGTATAATACCTTCTAATTTCCGCCGTGAAGAAAACAATTAGCAATAAATTAATTGATTAAAATATCACTTATTATAATTACATTTCCAAGTGGCTGGTAAGTTATAGAACGTTATTCCTGTAACTGTTTTAACTGTTAACAAGTAATTAAATAGCAACGTTAATTTCAGTAATGTATTATTTGATTAGTGCATATTCATCTTCGTCGATTTATGATATTCTATTCCCAAATGCATTTTAAACATCCATACAAAAAGCTTCAAACACCATTAAAGATATTTTTTTCAAAAAAAGCCATTTTTTCATGATGACATTAAAATTAAGTAAGATATAATATGTATTTCTAATGAATATACGCATATTGCATAAATATAAAAGAGAATATAAAAAACATCTTATTATAACATATAAAATAAATGTATTATAACAGATAGAATGTAATATGTAAAGCATTAGTATTACAAATTATATATCTATAATATTTAATGGTATAATTATAATATCTTTCAAAATGTTTCGAAGTTATTAATTCTTTAAATTTCTTTCAATAATTGTATAAAATTTGAAATTAAACATTTTTTAATTTTTTCGGCTAATTTCATGTACCCAAAAATTAACCGCACAGTTCATTAAATGTACAAAAACACAATACATAATCAACTAATAATATTACTTTTTTAAATTTTTTGTATAAAATAGAAAACACTTTAAAGATTATTAGATGTCTATTCTCCTATTCACTTAGAAATTAGTTGCTAAAGATTATATTAAGAACTGTAAGTATGAACATTTATTACATTAATTAGAAAGCTATACCAAGTTCTTCAATATTCTGGTTAATGAAAATCTCCTCGAATCCACAAACGAATAGTATTTTGAGGATTTATGAAAATTAATTATAGTGCCCTTTGTCATTCTCCTTTAGCACCATTATCAACGGTTTTCCCATTGTTCAACTTTTACGAAGTTTTCTTCTTTGTAATGTCGGATCTCACGTTATTGAATAGACTAATAACGGTATGCCTATTGTTCAACGTTGTTTTTTATGCTCGATATGTTCAGCTTCTTGTGAATACAATCAGCAATAATTTATGAAGTGATAACAGTTATATAAAAATGCTAATGATAGTTATTTTAAAATGAACACATACCTAAAATAAATTAAATTTAATTATTAATGTAAATTAAAATTTAATAGTTCAAATTGATTGGAAAATAAAACTCTCATATCCTACGTACAATAATAATATAAGTACAATGAACTAATAATCTTACAAATTTAATACACTATTTTTTGCTATTAATAACGCGTAATCATTTTTACAGGCGAATTACGTATTAAATACTTTAAGAAACAATAAAATATTGAAAATAATTAAAATTTTTTTCTAATTTTTTCATGTCTTATTTAAATCGAAAACGCAAATAAAATAAATTATTTTTAGAAAGAAATGTTACATTGAACCTGTAGAACGACATTCCTGCCTGCAAGCATTACAAATTACAACTGAGGGCCTCGTGTCCGGCATTTGTGTAATTTTCATTTACATCGGGTGGCGCTTCGTTGAGTTCGTTACGAGATGCGTGGGGTCAGGACGAGTCTAATCAAACTGAATCGAACACGACATACAGTTAATCGTCTAATCAAATTAGTAGAAACGGACGTCGAGGATTTCAGACCTAACCGCGAATCACGTTTTACATTTTATTGGCGGAACTCGTTTATCCGCTTCAACAACAATTTGCAATCTTCTCTTCTTTACTAACAGTTTTCATAAAAACACGCAAACTGTAGGAATAAAAAGAATCGAACAATAAATTAGCATTTCAATTCATAATTCATAAAAATTGGAAGTACACTTAACGAAGTAGTTTTTGTTTCTTACTGTATAAATTGTAAGGCTCCTGAATTAATCAGTTTGCAAAGATTGTTTCTTATGAATACGTTTATTATTTTACCAAAGAGTATTGAAACTGTACAAAAATCAAAGAAGATATTTTTAAAACTATTATTTCCGTTTTCTCACCGTCCGTTTCAGCCAAGTAAAATCGTTTCGAAAACAGATTGTAAATGATTATACGCTTATAATTCACGTGTATGTCATAAATAAACTAAAACAAATATCATAAAATTTATAAAAGCTTTGGGCTTATTTTACTGATAAAAGCTATAATATAATATTGTACTTGATTAAATATAACATATAAAATATAACTAAGAAATATATTCTTATAACTATGAAATCTTGTCCTTCAAATGTTGTTTCCACGAAGTAACACGCTAAAAAACAGCCTTTAATAAACTCAACTAAAGGCAAAAGATAATGAAGCAAATTATTGTTCTGTTTTATTCTCTTTCATAATTTATAATCACAAATTACTCCAATCCAATCAGTAGAATATAAGCGATTAACTTTTACTTATGCCCCAAACTTTTGAGCAGCAATACATAAATCTCTCAGACTCTTTTAAAATATTATTCTTATTCTACAATAGAGTACAGAGAATAACTTGATAAGAAAATCTACCTGTTCTTCCTCATTCTACATACAATAGAACAGAATAGAAGGAATAAACTCGATGAAAACAGCCACCACATCACCATCAACAATTCCACCAAATCAATTCCCGCAGAAGTGTTACATAACACTTTCATCCTCCGTACTCCCGATCCAATACGAATTCAACACGACCGAGCATGAAAACAAGCGTCGCATAGTCGCCGGGCGACCTCGAACGTTCCGGACGTATGGGCCACGATCAAAGAGCGGAAAAGCTGTCGGCTGGGCGGAGGAGAGCAGAAACCGTGGCCGGGTCTTTTGCAATTCCGTCCGAAAGGCAAGCCTTCTAATCTCGAGCAAGGGATCTCGCGTCGTAACGAATCGGGAAGAAGCATTTGGCGAACTCGGACGTATTTCTATGTCGGCGAAGAAATCGCGAGCAGGTCGGATATGGTATCGGTGATCCTGTAACTCTTCCCCCGTCTCGGTGGACGACACGGGAACGGTCGGAGCGGTCCGAGCGACATCTGAGAGAAAAAGGGAGATCTTGGCGGATAGAGAGAGATAGTTGTGCTCACGACGAAGAAATCAGGTGAGGGAAGAGGACGCGAGTAATCGAAGAAGGGAGGTGGATCATAGATCGAATGCTGGGATGGAAGGAGGCTAGCGAGGTGGTAGGGTAGTAGCGATGCCTGTGGGAAGGGGGTTACGGGAAGTGGGAGGTGGAGGTGGAGAAGGTTAAGGCAATGGGGAGTACAGGGGGCATGTCATACGACACACAGGGCAGAGTTTAATCAGGTTCGACTAGTTAGTTGGCAGGTGCGAGCGTCGCGCGCGCAGGAAGGAGAACCGAGCGGCCTCCAAGAAGCAGCGTGGCTCCTGCGCGCTGCTACTCCTAAGCAAGAAACAGCACGGGTTCCGTAGCCACCGGACGCACAATGCCGCAGACAAGAGGTCAACTTCGTCCCTTGCCCCCTCCTCCCCCTTTCCATTCTATCTACCGACTCTTTATCTCCCGATTCAGAGCTCTCGTACACACATCGACATTCTACACCGTGTTCTCACAATCGTTAAGTGGTTATAATTTTAACCGCTGTCTTCGCGGAGAATTTCTTTTCCGTGCTGCCACCGCTGTCCGTTCTTACCAGGAACACCGTGGCGAGGACTATCGCGATCCTGAAACGATACGGCGATCTACATACATGGTAAAACAGTTTCGCGACATTGCTGTACGTACTCGCCGAGGAATATCCCTCGGACCACTTGCGTTCTTAACGCGTTCGAGACCGGTAACGTAGTCCTACGTCATTTTACGTTCTTTAGGTGAATACTGCTAACTTGGTTCTTCGTTGTTGTAAGAGAAAGAAGATTTTGTTTGTATAAACGATAGTTTTACGACTCGCAAGAAAATGATTACTCAAAATCAAATAGCACATTCGTACGATACATTCATTTCACTCGCACACTTACTAGAACATTCTTTCGACGCCATGCGTTAACTTCAGGTACATTTGGAATATTCTAGATTCATTTCCCATGAACGCAGAAATCAATATTACAGAAAGTCAATTAGTCTAGAATATTCCAATGATTTGGATATTTATTCAAAATACACGTACATGCACATTATTTATTCATACACACACACTGGCTTATCAGTACACCTATTTCCACATTATTTTTATTCGCTTTGAACCCTACATTCTATAAATGTTTATGAGGAGTTAAAACAAATATATATGACTGTTATTCTATTTAAATGTTGATGTGGTAATGAAAGAAAATAGGAAGTAATAGTAAACA